TGGAAATGCAGAATTCTTATCATGCGAATCTCGCTTTAAGTCTATAGTCTGTATACGGCAGTGCACCAGTGCGCGCGACACACGAAACCCCGAATTGACGGGGAATTCGCTTATATATATTTTTTTTTTCTTATTGCTTGCAGCCTGCTAGCAACCGTGCCTTGCATCTTCAAGCCCACACTGCTAATGAACAACAAACGCAGCAAAATACAAAAAGAACACTCACTCTCACACCTCACTCTCGTCATGTGAAACACACACGAGTTGCGATTTGTGTACGTAGTGAGCGAAAAAGGTAACTCACTTTTCTGAGCAGGACTCAATCCCTCGATGATTGATTTTCTGTGGGTTGCTTTTGTAGCAACGTTTGATCATGTCGGGTGATGATTAACTGTTAGTCGTAAAGCGTACAGTTTGCGAGTAACTCTGTTGACGATGAAGTGGAAATCTAATCATGCTCGTTTGATTTCCATCGCTGAGGCTGACTGATCTCGTCTACCAAATTCGTCGTTTCGCGAGGAATCATCTGTGCCGGCACGGAATCAGGACATACTTTTCACGCAAATTTGTGAATCCAACTATCCGAGTACTCCTCGCTCTCGGTTACACACCCCTCGCGCCGTGTTCCACAGCGTATTCATCGACTTTTCGCGCGATAATCCGTCCACGAATTGCCGCCTGTATCCGCTTTTCTTGGCTTTGATGAGGCTCTTGAGCTCGCGTTCAAGAACCGAATACGCTTCGAAATGTACGGGTGTTCCACGTTTCCGGAAAAGCTTTAACGCGTCGGACATATTACGATAAACCTCAGTGCATTGCTGGTCCCACCAAGGGGAAGCAAGTTTCCTACGGAAAGACGTTCCTGGAACCGGCCGAGTTTGAGCTTCTAAAAATATGAAACTTTGCTGAAGACATTAAATTTTTATGACGAATACTTGTGAAGATATGAAGCGTTTTTGGTGGAAACCCCCTTAAATTGAGTTTTTTAAGTTTAACTTTTTTTATAAAAGTTTTTTAAGTAAACAATGTTCTATAATTATACAAATAACATACAAATACACGTTTTTGCTCAAGGTAGTATGTGGCTAAAATCATCCCTTTAAAAGTAATAGTACTTTTTACATTTATTCTTCCTTAATTTCAGATGCATATAGGGGAGAAGGTGGCAAACCGGGACACAGCACCAAGTGCATTTTTTAAAGCTTAGACTCTGTACTACAAATTAGTGAAGGTTTGGTTAGCGCCAATTCATAAGTGAGTGAATAGGGTCACGTTGAATGTTCACGTGTTTGGCCTTTTTCTATATAAAAACTAACCCTGTCTTCTCATTTATGAACGATAAATTACGAATTATAGAAACAGATATTATCTAACTCATCCTTGAACAACAAGGAAATTTTCTGTATGTATGCATTAACAAAAAGTGATTAATTTAAACAAAACATTTTCTGAGACAAGCACTTTGTGTGCTTAGTTTACTCCAGTTGTCAATATATATTTTGGTTAGAAAAGAGTGAAATTAAAGCGGTGGTGTATAACCCTATACCATCCTCAACAAGATACTGCCGACCCGTGCGAATTTAGTTGGTTAGTTAGACGACTGAAGTTACCCTCAGAGAAAAAGAGCATGTAGATAATAAGATCCAAAATCTTCGGACAACGGAATTCGAAATAAATGGTCGTCGGATCCGAGTCGAATATAGGCTACATATGACCATGATTGATGGCAAAGTTGTTAATGCTGTTACGACCAGAAAATAAGCACAGCGATGTATATCTGCAAGGCTACACCCACTCAAATGAATAATATTCAAAATGTTCTTTTGCGACCAATCGATGAAGAAGTATTTCAGTTTGGATTATCAGTTCTCCATGCAAAAATCTGGCAATAAAAATGAGAAATAACGTTGTTCAATCCATTCAAAATTTGACAAATTGTTACAGATTTTTTGAATAATTTCTACACCTGGGCTACATTATAATGGTAGCCTGACATGCGACAACTTCAACACCTGGAAATTGTTGAAAATTCACTCTATAGAAGGAATGACACTTTTTGATCCCCAAAAGTACCCCTCCTCCACGCGAATCCTCACGATCCAGTCGAATAATGTTGAAATCATTAAAAGGAAGATCGATATCTGAAGAGAGCCAAGTTTCACAAAGAGCAATGCATCACAATCATTATTGTGAACCAAGAACTTAAATGAGTCTAATTTAGGAATAAGACTTCGACAATTCCACTGTAGAACAGTGATCAAATCCCCGACCTCGTTGGGAAGATTATCCATCGAAGGTAATGATTGCTGCAAGGAGGGGCCACTTCAATGTCAATGCCAGAACAACGCTTTTAAGAGGATCAGAAATATCGAGGTACCACACCATCCTCGTGCTTCTCCCCGCATTTGGAGCAGCGTGCCTTACTGCCACAGTGGGAGGCCGTATGTCCCAACTGTTTGCAGTTTTGCCAGTTCATGACCCGGGGAACGAACAAGCGTACAGGTAGCCGATTTTTTCCCAACTCCATGTTGTGAGGAAGGGCTGAACCAGAAAAGGTCACCCGAAACGAGTCTGTGGGGGTAAAGCCCTTTTTACCCTCGCTGAAAGATACTGAGCCCAGTTTCTTGACTTCCAGTAAACCGTGGGAAACAAGGGGTTCTTGAAACGGCCAACCGCTTGCTTCGCCAAGATCTCGGGGGGTCAGACTCGCTTCGGTGACCACACCTTCGATCTCCACATTACGAGCTGGGATGTACACTCTATACTCAAGTGTAAAGAGCTGGGATGCAAACATTTCGTTAGCTTGTTTCAGGTTAGAGACGGACACACGAAGTTTATTGTACCTTAACCTTCGAGATTTCGGTCACGGCCGAGAACCGCTTCGGTAGATCATTAAATTCAAAGGTTTCTTTTGGGGCTTTGAGTAGACAACCCACACACTTAGAAAAATTCATGTAACTTTAGGTGCTCTGAGAGTGACATAAAGGGTGATTCGGAATAACTGTCACTTTTAAAAATAGTCATAACGATTTTTTGATATCAGTATATTCCAGATATACTACACATATAACCTTCAACTTAGCATACTTTAATTCAAATCTCTCTCGCTTTACCTTTAATTGCCAGCCATATTTGTCACGAAAATGAACCACAGCTGACACGCACGCTTTTTCTGCACTTTTGAAGTCCTGGCGATGCATCTAAGCTCTGATATTGAACGAATTTTCCACGCAAGGTTCTTTTTTACCTCTATAATAATGCGAAACATAAATGTTTCATTCTTTCGAAGAGATTTCAGTTTCTAAAAGATAAGACACGAATTTATGCAGATTTATGACATGCTCCATTTTTATGTACATGGCTGTTTGAAATCTAAAACGAATCAAATTTCAAATCCTACTATCAGTAAAAGCTGATATTGGTACACACTTTAAAATAAAAATACTTGAACATATACCCATTTACCCATTAAGAATTGCATATTTGTGAAATCGGAGACAGTTATTCTGAATCACCCTGTATACGAGCATCAGTTTTGACATAAATTTGAGTCATAACAGACGCAAAATATAGCTCAATCAAACGTACTTTTCGTCGAGCAACGAACTTTTCAGTCTCGGAGCACTTAATATTACATGACAAGTTTGTTTACGTCTCATCTTTTATGTCTAAGTGTGCATGGGCCAGTCGAGTCTTCTGGGTAGGCTCGTGATTGGGAGCTTTTCTGTCCCTGTTCATTGCCAGACTGAGATGACGAACCAGGGATGGCATCATCTGATTTCTGGGGTGACAGACGTTTGTAACCCTTCTTGTCATCGGGTGACAAACTGGAATTGTCTTCCGACAAAACATCCATGTCGTCTTCCGACAAAATGTCTATTTTGCTGTACTAGTGGGAGCGCAAAATGCTCTACCATTGAAACGAAAATCGAAACCACACAGGCACAATATACAGACACTACACTACAAACACATAAACATAAAATTAAATTTAACTGATGGGTGAGAGAAAGAAACAAGAACAATAACTTATCTGATAATCCTATACTACTACCAACGAGCATTTACACAGCAGCAACGGAGCGACGCACAGCGTGGATGGAGCCGGGTAAAGCAGGTGCATAAGAACGCCTTTCAATGGTTGTTGGGTTCTGCCCTGACCGGCGATTTGCGACCTCTGTACACCTTAACTCCGATTCTTACCTCCACGCGGTGCCCGGTGGGTTTGCTGGCGGTGATATTTGCCGTCAGTAATGCGAACAAGAACGGGGGATCATGTTGTGTTGTCACTAATGCACTATTGTTTATAAGTCGCTAGTGTCGGTGCATCTGCTACGTAATAATTAATGCATTTGTAAGTGCAACTAAATAAAAATAAAAACTTAAAGTTTGTCGATGCCATGCAAAATGTTCGTTGAGGAATTTGTCGATTTCAAAATTTGTTAGACCCGTTCATTTCGAAAGCTTGAAATGTTTAAATATTTTCCATTTCACAAGAATCCAACCGCTTATAAAATATTTCTTATAATGTACCGCATGGCTCAACTTGCACATCCCAAGAAAGAAAACTACTTTAAATGTCATTGGAAATTAAACTTAAACTTCTTTTACAACTTCCTTCAGAGTATCTACGGTGACACGGTCGTTCAATGACACTGCTGGATAAGCATCAAGTGTAAAGTATCAAGCGCTAAAATGAGTCTCTTTTAAGTAAATTGAAAAGGCCATCGGGAGAAAGCGCCAAAGTAGAGCGGAAATTAACTGCTCGAGTTGCTGCACAAGTGGGCGATGCTTTTCTTTTTTGGCACGCTCTCTCTATTCCTCCGGCGACAGGTTGTAATTGGAGGAGATTTTAGTCTTCTTTGTGTTGAAGCGAGGAGAGATCAAATCTTCGGTTTATAATTTTTCATGAAACTTCACCCATAGTCACTATAAGCATAAGCTTGATGAAAAAGGATCACTTTATGTCTGTCTTTTCATGGCATGTCTAATAAACTTACCTTGACTTGCTGATAGCGAAAGGTAAAAACGGCCGCCGGTGGAAGCAACCCAATTACGGCGCAGGCCAGCACCAAAATTCCGGTTCTCATCGTCCAGTTGAGGGCAGCAACGCACGGGGACGCATCTAGGCAGGAATCACACCCCTCGGCACAGGGTAGGCACTGATAAGACGATGCATCGTGGTAGGTGCTATATTCTTTCTGGAAGGATAGAACAAAATGTTTGCATTAAATTTGAGCTGCTGAACGTTAGACGTTAGTTTGAGATTTTAAATCATTATATTCTGTTGCCATTACATACTGATTGGAAATATACGCCTGTTTTCACCGTTCACAGATATTAATTTGACGCTATCTTAACTGTAGCATTTGTATGTTAGAAGTTATTCTGATAGTGATAGTGATTCTTCAAAATCATTTAAATATCATTAATCACGTCAAGTCACTCTACTTGCAAAATAACCACCTTAGTGTAGCAAAGACCTGAGATAGCCTAGTCAGTTAATGCATGGTATTACCACGCTGGAGGTTCCATACACGCAAACCAAAAATCTATTACAATGAATGTTAGTTCCATTTCCTATCATCCTCTGTTCATGAACATCGCAGCGAATGTTAGAAGTTGACCTTGCAGGCGATGTAATGGTTTTTTGCCTTTTTTATTTCGTGTTCTGTCTGTGCTTTCACCTACACAAGCAAGCATTTGCCTTGATTTTTATGTATAACATGGCAGAGCGACGCACACCCTTGCCTCGAATCTCTCCAGCAGAAAAAGCATACGAAGTCGCGTGTGAGCGCTTCTTGTTTGCTTTGAGGCTCTCCTTATTCAGAAGTATGGAGAGAGCAGTGGAGGAAGCACAGGTCTGATAATCGCATCGTTCGTTGTTCGAGTCCAGTCCGGCAACCTTTTTCCTATTTTTGTCGACATAATTAATTTACCTCACTAATACACTCTACATTTTTCGGTCTCCAATTTTCTTGCATTGGACCGTAGCTAGGTATATCGCATCCTCGGTTCATGCGGTCTCCATTAACATCCTCTGATGATGAATCCCACATAATTGTAAGCGAATCTTACATCCACCGGTTGGGTGTACTCAACTGGGCATAGAGTGGCATGATGCTTTCCACACAATGTACAAAGTCATGTATTGGTTTATCAATTTGAAATCCATCATGAGAGTCTTAATAGGGTTAACTACCCCATTTCCGGCTTATTAAGCACAACCCGCACTTAGTCTTCCTTAATCTAGCGCAGTTTAGCAACAAACGGAATGTTATTATTACTAATGGCTTCCAAATTGATTTACCTTTCTGTACGTACCGTAAGATTTGATACACCCAACCGGTGGATGTAAGATTCGCTTACAATTATGTGGGATTCATCATCAGAGGATGTAAGTGGAGACCGCATGAACCGAGGATGCGGTCCGATGTAAGAAAATTGGAGACCGAAAAATGTGGAGTGTATTAGTGAGTGAAATTAATTATGTCGAAAAAAATAGAAAAAAGGTTGCCGACTGAACTCGAACCACGGTCGCAACGACTATCAGACCTGTGCTTTCGATTTTATACAATCTTTACGAATAACAGTCATTTGAATTTTAACCGAGTCAGTAATCCAAAAATCCAGTAAAAATACTAACTCCTGTAAAAAAATCTAAGTGTGTATACAGAAGCAGCGGAGCTCCACACTCCTCCATCGAAACAGCTGAGCTGCGAGTGCTATGAAATAAAAAGGACATCGACTTATTACCACAACCTACTTCTCTCCCTCCGCTCTCAGAATTCGCCGATTCGGTGTCTCTCATTGTGTTTTCTGCTGAGACTAAGCAATATTCGATACCGCGAAACATCTCCGCAGTTATGTTTTCTTGCTGCGCAGGAGATGTGCGGTAATCAAAAGTTAAGAATGTAGCTAAACATTTACAATAACATTCTACCAAATTTTCATTTGCGTAGTCCACTGCAACAGCCGAACGTACGAACGAATAGCGCATTTTATGAAAACGTCACAAGTTTTTATGGCTGTTTTAAATCAATAATTACGAAGAAACCATAAAACCTACAAGGTTACTACCAAAGGCACAACTCTAGGGAACTGCATGGAAAATGTGTTGTAGAACAACTAAATAAACTGAAATGAAAATTTTCAACTTAAAAATACTAAAATGTATTAAATTTCACCAGTTTTTTTGGTACTTTCAACATACTTTTCAATTTTAATGTATGATAATTAACTTTAATCGAGTTCTTTTTCAAAGCGCATTGATAGCTAAGACTTTAATCTTTCATTTGGTATATTGAAATCAGAAAACCGCATTAAGCTGCTGTTAGAATATTTAAATAGTAACTGTTTGTTGATACCGGAACAATCGGGATACCGGGAAGGCCATTCTTGTGAAACCGCGTTAAACTTAGTGTTAGCTAAATGGAAAGAAAATTTGGAGCATGTTGCTGTGTTTTTGGATCTAAAACGCGCTTTTGAGACAATTTCTAGGCCCTTATTGTTAAGAACAATCAAGCGTTTTGGAATTTCGGGTTCGGCATACAAATGGTTTGAAAGCTATTTATCTGACAGAACACAAAGGACTGTTTTTAATGATTTTGTATCTTGTCCCGTTGACAATGACCTTGGAGTGCCTCAGGGAAGTGTATTAGGGCCCCTTTTATTTATTATGTATATTAATGACATGCGACGAGTTTTACGGTTTTGTGATATTCATCTTTTTGCTGAAGATACTGTGTTATTCATTGCAGCTAAAGATTTAGAAGAAATCGTTTCACGCTTGAATGAAGATTTGCGTTCTCTAAGTAGATGGTTGAAGTATAAACAATTGAAATTGAATATAAGTAAAACTAAATTCATGGTAATTTCACCGAATCGTATTGATGATGATGTCTCTGTTGTTATTGATGATGAGACTATTGATCGCGTTTAGGAAACTTAATATCTTGGCATGATTATTGATGACAAACTCAAGTTCAATTCTCATATTGACAATGTCTTCAAGAAAATTGCCAAGAAGTATGGAATTCTATGTCGCTTGAAAAACGATTTAACTATTGGTAGTAAAATACAGTTATACAAATCAATCATCTCCCCTCATCTAGACTTTTGCCCTTCCATTTTATTTTTGGCCAATGAAACACAAATATCGAGATTACAGCGTTTGCAGAATAAAGTAATGCGTTTGATTTTAAGATGTAATAGATTCACTTCCTCAAAATTATGCTGAACGCTTTGCAATGGCTGTCAGTGAAGCAAAGAATTGTGTTTTTGACTATGGTGTTCATTTTTAAAGTAGTTAACGGTTTGCTGCCTCGATATTTGTGTGATCGGATTGAAAGAGGAAGTGATTTTCATAGATATAACACTAGAAACGCGGATGAAGTAAGAACACCACATCTTTTGAATAATGCTTCACAAAATTCATTATTTTTCAAAGGTATAAATGTTTTCAATTCGATGCCTAGACACATCAAGCGTGCAACTACACTTACAGAATTCAAGAGACGCTGCATTTCACATGTAAAAGCTGTTTATTGAGCAGTTAAATTTTTATGAATGGATAAATCATGTATCTTGACAAAGTTATCAATAACGGATTAGTTTGTATGGAGACTGTCATAAAGACATTTTAGTAATTTGTGTAGCAAATACAAAAAACTACATTGTTTGCCTCGATGGTGATGATGGATTTTTAGTTTTTTGATTTTGTAGTAGTAATAGTAAAAATAGCTTTGAGTAGTTTACAATGGTTTGAGCCTTGCGCGCGGAATACAGGTATAAATGACTAATACGTGGAAATTGTGGCAAAAGCCTTGAATTAGTAAAGGATTGGCTGGAAGTCGTTTCCTTGGATATAGTCCTGGCACTGCGGAAGCTTAAACGTGTAAATCCCAGGTCACGTATAAATGGAAGTATTGTCGAGGACTATACTTGGACTTTTGATAACTAGTTACACCTTTGAATGTTTTTGGTTGATGCCTATAGCATATTTAACAGGACATTTATATCTGTAATTGTAACCAGTTCGATATTGTTTGCAAACCTGGTTAAAATGTTTATATTTAATTATCTTAAAGATAACTCGTCCAGCTCAAACCTTTGTAGGGGTAAGAGGTGGGACCATCATCATCATCAACAACGTTTTTTTTATTAAGATTAAAAAAATATAGCTAACCAAAGTTGGCAATACAAAAAAACATAAAATGTTGAATAACTCACTTAGCAGTCATTTCCGACCCTATGTTTCATGGGGATTTTTTCATAACTTTAGAAGCCCTATCTACCCTGAAAATATGTAAAACCCGGAACCAAACACCCTGTATAAGGCATTATTTTCCGAAATTGACGCGAATATGACTTACGATCTTTTGATGGCTGGTAATGCAAATAATAAAACCCTATCAACTCGGTAATGCAAAGGGGTCTGGGATAAACAACCTTGGAACAAAAACCTTTCAAACCCACTGTGCTATCCAACGAAAGAGAACACATGTTGCCATAGATCCTGTCCGGTTATTTTCCGGGTCTTTTCAGTGTCCTATGGCAACGAACTCTAATTTACGACAGTAGCTTCTCTACTTACCTGCATTAATTTTTCATACTCCTCCTCGAGTGTGGTTCCGTTGAACCACTTCTGTTCGATGCTGGTGTCGGGAAAGTAGTATCCCTTCCGGCACACGCACCGATACGATCCCCGACGGAAGCCCAATCCCGGAATCGGAGCACACTGTGGAAAAGAATAATAGTGAAAAAGGAATCGGTAGTCAGAAAGCATCTGCAAGTGGTAAATTACGGTGGGCGCGCTGCTGCCTGGAAATGCTGAGAAGGCGTTAGGAGGAGTTCTGGGAAGATATGCAGCAAGAGGCTCTGGCTTTCACTGACATCTACTAAGTGAAATTAATTGAAGCAATGAAAATTTATAGCACTGAATTTGTTTTCCCCGTTAGCGGCGGTGCGTTCACTGCATTAGCGAACGAGGAGCTGTGTGTATGAGAACGAAGCAAGGACTAAAACAGATGACTTCCAGTTTGTTCTTGGTTTGAATGGAATTGATACATTTATGGAAATGAAACGGATCTAAATAGAAAATTACCCTATAAGGGTTTTTGATCTAATTTCTGTCGTACTAAGCACAGCCCGTGCTTTACCGAAACACGCTTTAAGTATCTATATATAATAAAGAAAAATAAATAAACGAAACATGGAATGATTCTAATTTATATGACTTCTAATTGTATTTACCTTTCCATACGTACCGTTGAATTTGATAAAGAGTCTCAAACTGGTGAAATATTGATTAAACAAACTAACACTGCTTATAGATTCCAAATTTGTCCTACGAGATTACACTCTGTCCAAACGCATTGAAACGCCATTGGATTTCTTTCATACTACACATGAAGGCTGAAAACATGGATTCGCTAGGAGTGCTTCTTTTGTTTTTGTGAACAGTAAGTGTTCATATTCATACTATGCGCTCTAATAGGCTAATTTCTAATTTCTGACGAATGACAACACGCCCACGCAAACTAAGTACACCATCATCGTTTGCCTGGATGAATCTTATTCCACGAAAAATCTACACTCATAGTTATTGTGGCTCATTGGCCCTTTTTACTTGTTAGTCTAGAAAAATCCTATCGAATATCAATGGGGTAACAGAAAATTTAAAACTTCTCGATATTAATTTTATTATGGACACGATCTGGTGAGAAGTAAAATTTCTACCATTTTCCAAACAATGGTTCCCTAGAATTAGAAACAGAACACCCAATGCAATTTCAAGAGCAAAACATGACGAACAGAGTAAATTGGATAACGTTGTAAACATTTCCAAACAACAGCGCTAATTAACAATGGAATAGCAACAACAACAAAAACTTTTCACTAGGTACCAACCTCTGTTGTGCGCGGCTTGCATTTGTCCGTCCCGGCGAAAATGTTGAGCGGTTGTGGAGCCCCAGATGGAGAACTTTTCTGCGGACATTGATCAATGTCCACGCGCCGTAAATCAATATCTATGCCGGATGTTCCCCTGCAAACAAGGAAAAAAGAGAGATAAAACAGATGCAAAAACGGTATCACTATCGTTGGAAAGATAAATCATACGAGTTGAATTAAAATACAAAAAAAAAACTGGCTACCGGAAACATTGTTGTAATTTAAAGCCGCTCAAAATGGCCCCGTGTGGTTGTGGTTACGTTCGATAAGGATACAGGACGTACAAAAACAGTCATTTTTAATCGGGTTGAAATAGACTGCTATTTCATCATAATATGTCATGTAGTTCGTCTCACACCTTTTCAGAAGCTTTCAATTCCTTGCTTGATAAACACAAACAGCTGCGGAGGTATGAAAGCATGTTCCTATTGTAAAACCAAGCTGGTCTTCAATTTGAAGTCCACAAAAGAAGGAAAAGTGAAGATAATTGAAAAGACTGCACATTTCTGCTTCCAATTGCCAGCCATCTATTGGGTCAAATGTGTCCGGTAGAGCGTGCAGTAGGAGTGAGGGGGAGGGGGGGGGGGGAGGTCATTTTATCAGAATTATTTTTCATCTGCGACATCTGATTTATTACGTCGTTCAAAGGGACCTGAAAACATTTCTTATTAATAAACATTTCCTCATTTATCATCGGCATGCGACGAGAGGAGAATATCGACAGCGTAGGAAACGTTTCAATTCCGATGGACTCTGTTTCTGATTTCAGGCATAGTGAATGTAAAAATTGGATGAGAAATGAATTCTATTTCATGGTAGCACAAAAAAAAACGTTCAAATATCCGATAAAAGTACGATCAATCCATTCATTCCAACTTACAATCATGGAGTCGCATGGTTGAGAATATTTCCAGCCCAAAACGTTATAAAAAAATCGCGCGTCACTTTTCAAATAGACCAATGATTGATTCTCTTTATCGACTCTCTCTTTCGTTAATAACTTTGATGCATTCATATTGCGTGCCAGTTTTTCTATTCAACCTGTTAAAAGAATGTATTACACTGAAACCTCCGTTTACGAAGTCTTTTTTTACGCAGTATTCAATTTACGTCCCTCTTTTTACGAAGTAAATCCCAAATAACGAGGTTTCGTTTTACGAAGTAAATTCCAAATAACGAGGTTTTTTTTTTACGAAGTAAATTCCAAATAACGAGTTTTTTTTTGCGATTATGGGAATCTGGGAAGAACTATGAAATATCCCACAATATGAGTATCTTTGGAATCGGAGTGAGATATAGGAACCGGAAACCCATGTCTGACGCCATTTTGAAATCCAAGATGGCGGCATCCGGTTCATGAAAAACTGGAAGATACTTTCAATACCCCACTATATGGGTATTTTTGGAATCAGGGTGACGTGTAGGAACTGGCAATCTATGTTTGACGTCATCTTGAAATGCAAGATGGCGGCTTCCGGTTACAGAAAAACTTGGACATTCTGCCATATACATTACAAAATAGGTATTTTTGGAATCGGAGTAACGTGAAGGGACCGAAAATCGATGTCTGACTCCATTTTGAAATCCAAGATGGCGACTTCCGGTTACAGAAAAACTTAGAAATTCTGTCATATACCCCACAATATGGGTATTTTTGGAATCAGGGTGACGTGTAGGGACCGGAAATCGATATCTGACGCCATTTTGAAATCCAAGATGGTGACTTCCGGTTACATAAAAACTTGAAAATTCTGCCAAATACCCCACAATATGGGTATTTTTGAAGTCGTTTAGGGACCGGAAATTGATGTCTGACGCCATTTTGAAATCCAAGATGGTGGCTTCCGGTTACAGAAAAACTTGGAAATAATGTCATATACCCCACAATATGTGTATTTTTGGAATTGGCGTGACGTGTAAGAACCGGAAATTTATGTCTGACGTCATTTCGAAATCCAAAATGGTGGCTTCCGGTTACAGAAAAATTGGCAAATACCACCACGTCACCCCGATTCTTAAGATACCCGTATTTTAGGTTACTTAACATTATTTTATGTAACCGGAAGTCACCATATTGATTTTCACAATGGCGTCATACATGGGTTTTCAGTCCTAATAAGTCACCCCGATTCCAAAAAACCCATATTGTGGGGTATTTGACAGTATTTCCCAGTGTTTCTGTAACCGGATGTCACCATCTTGGATTTCGAAATGGCGTCAGACATCGATATCTGGTCCCTACACGTCACTCCGATTCCAAAAATACCCATATTGCGGGGTATATGGCAGAATTTCCAAGTTTTTATGCAACCGGAAGCCACCATCTTGGATTTAAAAATGGCGTCAGATATTGATTTCTGGTCCCTGCACATCACCCTGATTAAAAAAAACACATATTGTGGGGGTATTTGGCAGAATTTCCAAGTTTTTCTGTAACCGGAAGTCGCCATCTTGGATTTTAAAATGGCGTCAGACATCGATATCCGGTCCCTACACGTCACTCCGATTCCAAAAAGACCCATATTGTGGGGTATTTGGCAGACTTTACTAGTTTTTCTGTAACCGGAAGTCGCCATCTTGGATTTCAAAATGGCGTCAGACATCGATTTCCGGTCCCTACACGTCACTCCGATTCCAAAAATACCCATATTGTGGGGTATTTGACAATATTTTCAAAAACCTCTTTTTACGAAGTAAATCCCAAATAACGAGTTTTCTTTTTACGAAGTAAATCCCAAATAACGAGGTTTTTTTTTACGCACTAATTCGATTTACGAACCCCCGTTTTGGTTCGTAAATGGAGGTTCCAGTGTATTAAGCGTATTGGACAATAAGAACAGTCGACCATGTTTTTGGAGCGGAGTTATTAACGAAAGAAAGACTCGATGAAGAGCATCGATCAATGTTGTTTGGTCTTTTGAAAGGTGACGCGAGAAATGTCAGTTTTGTGTCGACCCTTTCTGATTTGAATGAAACATTGCTGACATGTTCGCTACTAGTAATCTTATATATAGAATTTCTAATTTGCTACTACCAATGGTCGCATTTTTCATCTACACTCAAAATTGTTATTAATCAAAGATAGCATAAAACTTAATATATGTTTGGTTACGCAAAGTTAATACATCGATTTGATTAAATTTCACCTGCAAAATTATACTACGTTCGAATAATGGTGTGAAATACTTTTAGTGTATACCACACACCACGAAAAAGTAATGTAAATTTCGGTTCCCTGAGACCGACACATGTAAGCGGCCCTTTTGGCATAAGAATCAGTTGAAAGAAACGAGAAAATCAATTCAATCAAACGTTCTCTTCGTCAACTTGCTAATGTTTCGGTTTGAGAACACTTAATTTTACATGAAATGTTTGTTTACTCATCCAATGTGGATTACGTCCCTTGTAAAATTAGTTATTTAGGGTCTCGCGTCACTTTTCAAATAGACCAATTTACATTGATCGATTCTCTTCATCGACTCTCTCATTCGTTAATGAATTTGCTGCATTCATATTGCGTGCTAGTGTTTCTATATAGCCAGTAAAAAGAAAGTATTACTAAGCGTATTGGACAATGAGAACAGCTGACCATGTTATTGGAGCCGAGTTATTAACCACACAGATAAAAAATCTGAATTTTAATTGTGATGTAAACATTCATTCACATAGACTTGTATTTCATCTCACGCAACCGAGCAACTTGTAAACAATGTTGTTTACAAAGATGGGCTTTTGTATACAATATTTGCTACATTGCATGAAATGTGTCAGAACTTTACATGATTTATAATGTAAACGTATATGATATGTGATGCTCCATTTATGTGCATCATATTGAACAGAAATTTACACTACTTTTGCGAACTGTGTAAAGAGAAAGTCGACAAAGAGAATCGATCAATGTAGATTGGTCTATTTGAAAGGTGACGCGAGAATTCAGCTATATCAATTCTACCGTTAGAATCGTTAACGAAGCAGATGTAATAAGCATATTCAGAATTGCCACTCAAAATGGTGAGTTGACAACCTGGAAGGAGCGGAATACCTAGCCCTGGTCCTCACAAGTTTCTACTTCACGCCTCCTCGAGTCATATGATAACAAAAGACTACAAGCTGAAACATGGACACAGCTGGGTGGCGTAGCCTGGGCAATGTTGCCAGTCCGGCAATAGCAAAGTGAAGAGTTGTGACGCGAACACTGGCGCGGTAACCATAGTACGGTGATAGAGGAAATGCTTCACCAAACCTGAACGTCTGTTCATCATGGAGGTGCGGCTCAAAACGGCGTCTGTTCTCCATGTTAGGAGCGGCTGATCACCGTCCTAGTGGGACTCTAAACAGAGCTGTGCACGATGGTACCCCGAAGAGACAGGGGGTTGGGGTAGGCCCAACAAGCCCTGGAAAAAAGTAGAAGGGTCTGTGCCTAGGGGCACGAACGGAAGCGTAGGACCGCTAGTGGACAGAACAAATGTGAACAAATGTGAACATTTAGTTCTTTTAATTGATCAATCATTAATTATCTTAACTCTTTCCGATTTTCATTTGTAAGCGTATCAAATGTGTAGTATTTATTTTAAAGAGAAAGTTGACGAAGAGACTGTCAACTTGAGTATTTTCGATTCATCTACCCGACTTTAAAAGGTGTATTTTGATTTTTTTTGTTATTTATGAATTTTGGTATTAAAGTGTATTCAATTTACCCCTCACAGGATTTTCTTCCGAATTATATGAATGGGGCGCCCCGCCCCAGAAAGTATCGTTTGTGCAGAATATGTAAAAAAGGAGGGACTTCGAGATATTGAACTCGTGAGAGCTAATTTTCTCACAAATTTGATTTTATTGGCTTTCTGGGGACTGAATATACACCCAAAGCGAATTATTCCCACTTCTCTCAAATTCTATATGGATTTTTACTTCCTACCAGCGTGTTCTGGAAAATGGTCGGACGATGATTAATCTCACCAATACATTCGGGTCTACAAATCCATACCTTCTATAGAGACCAGGTTGAGCCTTGATAGCTAGCTTCTTGCGGCAACTGATGACCTTCATAAACGTCCAAATGATACTCTTAACAAATTGATGGTGGTCATG